AGTAGTTTCCATTTTATTTTCCACAGCCCTGCATGCTCTCCTCACCACCCGACGTGCTCAAGGCTCAGAAAAACCCTTTTCAATTCCAATATGAGGCCAGGTCTAGTGATGCCCAGCATCTAGAGCCCATTGCTATGACATCCAAAGCCAAGCCAAGCGTTTACGCTCAGAAGGGCGAGGCATAGAGTATGTACCTCCTGAAGTAGATAGAGTTTTGGGTATACAGGGATCTAATAATGATGTTTGGGCTACTCTATTTTCCTATTTAAGGCGGAGTATATGTTCAAGGAAAGCAGGTTAACTGGCATCAACTGCTGCCCGCTTCGCTGACCAGCACCTAGCCCCATGATGAAGGGTTTAGCGTCTAGGGCTTTAGGGTTTTGGGATATTGAGGGTCAAGGGTTTAGGGACCCATGATGTAAGAAGACCTCTCTTGAAAGATCTACAGCACAGATCCCCCAAAAGCGCAGGTCTAGTAATCAAGCCCCCAATAAAACAGGCCCCGCCCGCAGTAACAAAAGCATTCCCGAAATTGTACATGAGCCATATTGGTGGGGCGTTGTATTGTTCAGGAGGATTGCTTTGTCCTGATTTACAGTCCGCCTTAAGTAGATAGAATAGGGTTTTGGGTATATTATAGTAAGATTCCCATTTACCCTATATTCTATCTATTTAAGGGGCCCTAAACCCTAAACCCCATGTAATCCATTATAGTAGTTTCCATTTTCTTTTCCATTATCCCAATATAACCCCAATACAACCCTAATATTCTATCTAACCCCAATATATACCCTAGTTATAATATAGTAGTTTCCATTTTCTTTTCCATTATCCCTATATAACCCCTATATAACTTAAGGAGGACTGTAGGCTGTGAGGCCTCCAGGCCTCCCCGGTTCGAGCCATGGCAGCAAAACTGGGCGGATGGAATGACCTCTTCTCGCCCGCACGGGTCGGGCGCCAAGGGCAAGAGTAGCGTAGGCATTGCTTTTTTCGAAGAGCGTAGACCAGAGACTTGCGAGCCTGATCCAATTTCAGGTCTCAAAGCCTCAAACCCTGAAACCCACAACCCTTAAAGTTTAGGACAAACCCTCGGATCCTGCTATCTGGCCACTTCGAACCCTCTTCCTCCATGCACTGACGATTTGACTAGGTGTCTGAGGCCTGAAGCTAATCCAAACTGGAAGTTGAACTTGTGGTTTAGAATCCTTACATGTTATGGAGTCTTGTTCCCCTGTCATGAACAGATACTACCCAGTCCCCTCCCTCGCTATTTCCCCCTGAGTTAGGCCTAGTCATCTTTCAATATCTTTCAATTAAGGGGAAACATTGGGTGGCGGGCTAGTTTAGCGGGGTAGTTTGGGGGAACCCATGAATCATGCCCTTTGGGGCTCAAGGCTAAACATCTCCCACATGAGCTCAATCCTCAAAGCTGCAGACCCCCAAAGTCAGGGTTTAGGGTTTAGGGTTTGAAGTTTAGGGCGTTTCTGATGCCGACAAACCTACATGGGAGTTTCTCAAAAAAGCGGTGGACGCACGGGAACCTAGGGATATATACGGATCGTAAGGGGATTGTGGGGTCTTTTCCAAAGACTGTAGGAACTGATTTGAGAAATGCTCAAATTCTGAAATCACAGCCCTGAAAGGACCTTAGTTCCGAGTGTTGCTGGGTTGCTGTTAAGGA